CGAATACAGAGGTGTTTGGCATTTGCTAACTTCCGTCATCTGTAGCGCCGAATGACGACATATTCAACTATCTATCAAAGAACGAGTATAGTACTCTGCAGTCCATTTTGTCCTGTTTACGCATGTAAGACACAGCCGTTATTAAAAGGAGACATGGAGCAGTTACAGGTGTTTGATCACCGATGTCTTCGAGGCATTGCTGGCGTATAGTGAAATCACTGGGTGAGCAATGTTGAAGTTTGGCGAAGGGATACTAGGCAAGTGGATTGGTGAGGTTGTGAACCTTTATCAACTGAGATAGCTTGGATATATGTTGCTCATGCTGATGCACTGCCTACCTCGAAGTGCTATCCTAGGAAACGTTGGGTTAGATTTGAAGAGGTTTCAGGCTAGCGATGTGGCAATAGTCGATGAAGTCTGTGAATGTTGGTGTCGCCAAGATGATAGGAATCAGTTTTCTGAGGAGTTTTGGTAGCATCTTTGTGTCTATCCTACTAGATGAGGACAGCTAAACTGTTCTTCGAGCTAAACACCTAGTGATCAACTCTAGTTTGTTGTATGTCCAGCTTTTTTTAATGTTTTAGGTTTCTTAACAGAATATTAGATTTGTGCATTGAAGACTGTTGATTCTAATCCTCCTACATCTCAAGTTCTCGTCATATTGAATAGTTTGTAGGTTCTTCTATTCTTATTTCCTTGATTATACTCTTTGAAGAGATGTTGCATCACATATCTGCTTTCTATTGCTACGGGTGGTAACAGTTTTACTCATGTCACATTGGTGACATCTTGACTTCTATTGGTATACTGTTGCTGTACGTTTCAATGAAGCAACATGTTGAATTTCTGGAGGGTGATATTCGCTTTGGAAGTTTGTAAGGATTAGTTGATGTATTTCAAAGCAGCATTCATCCTAGAGTGGTATCAATTGGAGAAATATTAAAAACGTGAGAACATTGACGGAAGGAAGGGGTTGCGCACTGCTGAGGAATCCTATACCAGTACGAAACAGGTATTCTCCAGTACTCTCAGGTTTTTAATGATTCTCTGAATGATCTCAGTCCATAATGAACACAAGCTTAAAAAAGAGTTTTCGTCGGAATTGCAGATGCACTTCAAGTAAAGTATGACTTTTCCAGTTACATCAAGTTCTCAAATAACAGCAGACACCATTTCAATCGTAACTTTGAGCCTTCTCTCCAGTCTTATCAACCTGTTTTCACTACTACCCCGACACTTTCATTTATCCCTCACACAATCTCCTCCATGTCACCCTCGGCTCCCACCCCAACTCGTCGCTTTCCCTTTGACTTCCACTACACTGCCTCACCTGACCTGATGCGTAATGCACCCAAACCATCTTCTCAGTGTATGTCCAATCCAACCCATCTTCACTTTCTTCCCCTGCATATTTGTTGGGTGATAGGTTGTTGCTTCGTTGGTTCATTGTCAGACAGAGTGAGTTCCTTGTTGCTTATTCTTTCCGACCATATGATCTGATCTGATGTGATCATCATTATCGAGTGAGCGTGGTCGACAGCTGTTGATGTATGATGTCTACAGTTTGTTGGGAATGTTTTTGGTAACGCGCCAAGTCTCTGAAGCATCACATGTGGGCATTGACTTAGTTGACAGGATTAGTGTTGAAAATGCGGATGTTGTTCCATATGCTGAGTGAAGTGGAGTAGATCTGCACACTGATTTCAGGTAGATGAAGTGAAGGCTGTCTTGCTGTGTTTCCGATGATGGCTTTGACGTGGTCATGTGTGCGTGTGCTGCTGCCTGTGGTTGAAGGGATGCTGCCTTGGGAGGTAGGTAGGTAGGTAGGTAGGTGAAAGTGGCAACTTTGTTAAGTTTTCTGCTGTTGATAGTGATTGGTGCTTGTTGTTGGTTGGGTATCTTCATCACTTCTGTTTTCTCCACGTTCACGTGAAGGATGTGCCGCGTTGGCTGCCTCGCCTGTAGATGTTCGAGTTTGTGGGACAAGACATTAGATATAAATCATCATTGTTGGCGAAATCCAAATAGTGTAGAGTCTTTTCATCGGTCAAACAACGAGCGTTTGCCCATCTTCTCGCTCTACATGGTTTGCTGCATGATCTACAAATAAAGTTTATTCATCTGTCTGAAATGACAGATGAAAAAATCAAATAAACGTTTGTAGCGATCATGTGATTATAACTTTCAACCCCACCCCTAACAAACTATTTGAATATCATTCTACTTAAACACGTAAACACTGAGTGATGCGGGTTCGAAGCTCAGGGAGAGCATCAGTTTAATCGAGGTTACCGATACGCTTTGCTGACGAGTGCTAACAAACATGAAATCTAGGTCTTTCTTACCGATTGCCTTTAACCAACTCATCTACTAATGTGCGCCATGGTTGGTGGCCACATTGCAAATGTAATCAATAGGATTTGATCTGCACTCAGGACTTGACAACATCAACTTGCTTGCTCTCCCTTGACTGATCAATGGATACCAGTTGCAACGCTATAACTGCCGGTTTTTCTTCCGTCACATTACATAATAGGTTACAGATAGACAGATGGGATCAAAGGAGAACTTCACACACACGTACATCAGTACAAGTTAGTGTACTTCACAAGGAATAAGGAGGGGGGGTGGGTATGAGAGAAGTAGGAATTTGAAAATTAGGCTTAGTGAAAAAATCTGCGCCATTACCACCGTCTAAAGCATCGCAACCAGACGGTCTACACCTTCCTACACCAATTAGATCGATGATCAAAGACTTCTTGGATTGGTATCTCTTTTTCATCTGGAGTCCCCAGAGCCGTAAACTAGCGCAATTCTACTTTGCGCTAATACTGCATGTCGAGGTAGATAGTAGTTTTGGTGTATACATCATATAGTCAAGCCACCTCACCTAACCCCCGTCATTGTTGGTGAGCAAGGCTGTAGAGATAACTGTGGACAAAAGCTTGTAATTTCTTCATTTCTTGTACTTCCAATGACCGTATATCACAGCAGTATTGTAATGCGACAGAGCGAATTGTGATGTAGTATATACGTTCTTCAAAAGGTAGTTGGATGTCTTGACAGTTGTCGAATACATGATGCTGCTTGACCAATACTAAACGAGCTTCGTTTATCTCAACTGGGATTTTGTCAGCAATCAACCTGGTTGGGCTGATCGATACATTTCATCACTTCACTCTCTATCATTAAGCTGAGAGTCGTTAAAGATAAGTCTTTAAGCATCGTTTTGCATTTGATGGGTGGGAAACGATTGGCTGACTTGCTCATATTTCAGATCAACACATTTGGAAGACTTTTCATTTTGTCAGCGTGTTCACCTAGCCGATGGCTGCCACCTTTATGTTGTGATTGGGTACATCACAATGACCCAAGGAGCGCTATGCTGATAAAACTAGTGTCCCGTCCATGTCCTACTATACCAGAAAGGTCTGTTGAATAGTGGTAAGACGAAAAGCAGTTACCGTTCCAGTGTAAATTAGTACACTATGATGAGGGTTTGAGGGCGAAGGTCTACTACTGCTAGCTACGTAGTGTTTATTAGCAGCAAGGTGTTTTTCTTGGATGATCAGCTATACCTCGCTAATGCTACCTTCCGTATGGTAAGTTGAGGGGCTCTAAAAGCGGTTGACCCCTCGCCTGCCCTTACGTTCTTCCGACGCCGATAATATGGGTTTCGTTATCTTCCCGACGTTAGAACAGCCATGAGTTCTGTGATCACAAAAATCCTTTCCTCTTTCACTTACCTTCAGAAGAAACACCTTTTCATATTGTGGGCAACCGGAAAATGTCAACATCCTACACGCTTCCCATTTTGTTGGATGAACCTACTCTCTTTGCTCTGTGTGCGATTTGAATCATACATGAATATAACTGAACTAAATAACTATAACACAACAGTAGAACTAATTTTATACACAGAAACTGGAATAATCCACTGTATACTTGATTTCACTCAGTAAGTGATTATTTTAGAATCGCATATCGTGCATAGCTGACTAAGGAATCAATACGTCGGGCTATTCAATAGACACAATGACTAAATTAATTGGGTATTTCTGAAAAATTTCACTTGATAGGCTTGAATATGGTTGGAAGAATACTGGGAATGTGATTAGACTCGAATCAACTATTCTTGGATATATCTATTCATGTTTTTGACCGTTTTACTTTTTGAGGATAGCTGTAATATACCAAACTTGTATTATTTATTTCTGGGTGATGATTTGATGTGGAATGAAAATCTGAGCCGTAACTGAACCAGTAACCCTTTAGTCGTTAGGTTCGTAAGTATGTTATGTGGTTTGGACTAGTGAAAGTGCAAAGTGAGTAGTTGGAAGCAGTCGGAAAGTTGTTCGTGTATCAAGGTGGTTGTATGAATTTGAGTGATGAAATCTGAGTTATATGTGACACTGTTTGTGACGTTAGTCTGACCATAAACTGTCAGGTTTACAACGCTTCGATGAGAGCAATTCTACTCCTTACGTATGGAACTTGGCATCTTCGATCTGAAGATGTGCGACGACTCTGTGTGTTCGATCATCGTTCCAGTGTAACACTATGTAAGTAAGTAGTTATGAGTCACGACAGTGTGTATGTGTTCCGTTATAATGGAGATCGTTATGGAATAAGTGAATTCATCGTGAAATACCGACTTCGGTGGTTTCGACATGTGTTACGCATGTTGTCATGCCAACGGCTTCGATGCCACTCATTGTTTACTAACCATGGAACTGGTTAAAAGAAGTGGACGGGTAGTCAGTATATGACATGGTGCTGTGCGATGAAGGATAGTTGTATCGTGTTATATCATCTGTTAGTTCATCATGACTCTCTGCTTAAGGTTCGAGAGATCACTCAATTCATTGGGTTGAGGTATTATCAGATTTGGCGGTGATGCTGTCGTTTCCTTCTATCAGAAAAGGTAATGAATGTTTTTTTTCCCCTTTTTAAAAATTATTTCATATCTGTTTCAACTTGATTTATCACTTTCTTTCTAGCTATTACACCAATGGTAAATGATGCTAAAGGCTTAGTGACAAATATTGAAGATCCACGTGTACATGAACAATGGCGTCAATCAAATCGTAATTTACTAACTGCTGTCAAATCAGTTAAACAAACTGTCATTCCATTACTGAATAATCCAATCGCTTATTATCATGAACATTATAACTCAGTATTGTATGGGCATAAGAATGGAGTGAACGATACTACTAGTCATGCTACTAACAGTAGTAGTAATAGTTCAAAGGATAATAATAATAATAATAATGATAGTGTCTCATCATCGAAATCATCTCACCTTTCCAATAATCATATCACCTCTTCAATACCTATCCATGAAATGCAAAGAATAACTATTACAGGTAAGAAACTATTACACAATGATACTAATAGTAGTAGTAATTATACAACTGTGTTATGCTCTCCTGCCGTTGATAGGCTCCAATTTTTGATCGATCACTATTGTTATTTAATAACTCCTGTCTAGAGATACCTTGATATTGTTGATAATTTCAATTTGAAAGTAGTGATAACTAGTGGTTAGCAGTGAAACGCGCTAAGAGGCGCATTTCGTCCTGTTTAAGACGCGTCAACCTGAATGTGCTTGCTTTCGAGTGGGACTCGAATGGCGATGGATTATCCATTAGACTATCATATCGAGACATTCACATTGAGGTTCAAATATCGGTACTGGCTAGTCGATTCGGTCTAATCAACAAGGCGAAATGAACAGCTTACAATACCGAAGTATACTTATCATTGAAAGACTGCTTATTATGATGGCCTAATAGATAACGCTTTGGCGTTTTAAACGATGGATGGTAGTTTCGAATTCGAGTAGAATGTAATAGCTTCGAAGCTTATGGGGCTGTAAGTGTTCTTTTTTTTTTTTACGGGATTTTAACGTTTTGTATTTATGCTTGTTATCATCACTATGAGTTGAATAATTTCGTTTCAACAGTATTTGAGAGTCGCATCAACCTCGATGCATTGGATTCAAAAAGGCTTGTTTAGCCAGTTGCCAACTTATGTCATCGGTGGTGCCAAGTGTCAAGATATCCAACTTGATATGGTGGTGGTTGACGTTCTGATTTCCATTAAAATCGATTCGTTTGGGCGTTAGGTTCGTATCGTTTTTAGTCTGCTAGGCTCGTATCACTCGTAGAAGAGAGTGTTAGGTCATACTACCGGTTATAGCAATACTACGCTTCAGTGCATTCTATCTTGCTTTACGATTATGAGATTTGGCCGTTGATGATGTAATACAAAACTGGGCACTCGTTGATAGTAACGCGTGCCTGTAACTATGCGGAGACTGGTAGTTCCCTTGGGGGTGGGGGTGTGATTTGATGAAGTCGTCACTCAGTGCTGTAGTGTATGCAGTCATCTCACTGTTGAAATTTCTTTGTAGGTGGGAAGAGAGACTGAAGTCTATGAAGCGTCTCTTTTTTTCTGTAAAATGCTATTTGTGAACTACTATTTCTTTTACTGTAGTGTTGTTGTCAACTTTCCTTATTTCTTCATTCTCTAGATGTTTCACATATACCACCGCCTCCATATAGTGATAGTAATAATAATCATAATATTAATAATAGTTATTGTACATCATACTATAGTCATAAGCCTATTTATGAGATTAAGTTATGCAATCCTACACATCAACAGCAAAAATTTGTTGCTAGCCCTTCAGCTTACACATCTTCGATACATTCATATCCACAACAGTATCATCGAGCACATCATTGCTATCAACATGAACCCCTAGCACCAGGACAGCAACAACAACAACAACAGTCTAGTTCACGTCATCAATTGTATTCACCTCATCATCAATACACCGGTGGTAATGTGCATTCACCACCGCCGTATTACCAACCATCAGGGCAATCACATCATGGTGATGATGATTGTCGACAACATCAGTCACATCAAGACCAACAACATTATTCTCATCAAACAACTTCATATGTAAAGAGACGAAATGATGACTACACGGGTTCAGGTATCGTTTGTTCATAAACATCAAGGGAATGTGTCTCGTGTGTGTGTGTGTGTGTATGGCCTCACGTGCGCATGTGTGTGTGTGTGGTCATGCACTTGTTCTTTCATTTCTATTTTTCTGGGCATTGGGTTTGTTTTGCGTATGTGTGTGTGTGTGTGAGTGCGTGCGTGCATGCATTCACTTTTTAGTTGCATGATAGTAGTAGTAATAGTGGTGGTTATGGTGATGGTGGTGGTGGTTATCGTCAGCTTCCGAGAAGCATGGTTACCAATGTGTACTCTCGTTTTGCTTTTTTTCTTCCACTGGGTTCTGATGTATATAAATTATGAGTTATGTTTTTGTTACTGCTGCATGTCAACCTGGATTCCACTGTTTAAGTATCAAATAGACTGTTCTACACGATTATTTTATTTCCATTCATCATGGGGTGTAGTAAACTTTAAACTTGTGTATTTGTCTTTCATAGCTGAAGTAATGTTAGAATACATTTCACAAAGACATTGCAAAGTATATCCAAATGGTTGAATAACTTTCTTCCTGATTGGAGTATTTAAAAAGGCGCTTGTTTCGTGATTGGTTAATTAGTGTCGTTTATTTCAGGATAGTATTCAACATAGACTTACTAACATCAATTGGAGAACCATTGGACAAGCGTTTCTCACCACCAAAATTCAAATTGCTGCTCCTGGATTGGTCTTCAACGGTGCCTTCTCGGCTAACAATAGAGAGTAAAGTGGTTGAGTGTATCGATCACTTTACTTACTTAGGAAGTAGGATCAGCCCTGATGACTCATTGGCCGGTAAAATCTCTGCACGGACACAACGCTCGATTGACTTTCGCCAACTTACACTACCTGTGGCGCCGCCGTGATATTCGTTTGTCTATTAAGGGTCGCGTGTGCTGCACAGCAGTCCCGTCTGTTTGAATGTATGGCTGTAAAATATGGCCATTGATGGTGGAAGACATGAGAAGGCTGGCTTCAAGTGTTTGACCATCGTTGCCTTGATCGTAGCATATGCCGTATTTCGTGGTGTCACCATGTGAGTAATGCAGAAGTGAGGTATAGACTTTTAGGGAGAAGAGGTGAGTCAGTTGTCGAGGTTGTGAACCTTCATCGACTGAGATGGTTGGGACACGTGTTATGTATGCCTAGTTGCCGGTTACCTCATCACACAATGTTGTCCGAAGTAGGTTCAGAGTGGAAAAAGGGTGGAGGTGTCCAGACTAAAACATGGCACCAATGTATGAAGTCTATGAGTGTTGGTTTGAACGATGTGGGGTGATGCAGATTAGGTGGTTGGGTTCCGTGGGACAAGAGGAAGTAGTGGTTAGAGACTGACTCTAGGTGATCACATGGCTGAGAACCGATGTCATTGGCGTAGAAGTATCCCCACACATATTATCGTCATCTTGACGACGCTATACCGAATCTCACCACTTTCTCATTCTTCGTTTTTCTCTTTTCGTGCTTTATATTTCTTTAGACTGCATTCTTTTATCTTCATCCCTCACCTCACTACCTTTCTACTTGATGTAGTGATATGAGGTGTGGCAAGTTGGAGCGTTACGCAGTGATGCCTGGTCCTAGGTTGATCTGGATGGATGATGCACCCCGCCATGGACTAGATCCAGGGCTTTCAAGCAAGCACGTTACCATTCAGCCATGGGGTCGTAATCATCATTGATTGTCATTGGTGTGTACTTGTTCTCCGACCTGACTTCGTTCTCTCTCTCCCTCTCTCTGTCTGATGTCAGTTAGTTATAAATACTACCTTGTCATCAATGAAGTCCCATAAATCTCCTGTTTCCTAATTGGTTGATATTGTATGCGTAGGTGATTCACTTGTGATACGATGTTAATGTACTGTCTGCTAGATAGTTTTTTTGACTGAGTCCCAATAACGAAATCTCGTCTTGAATACAGAAGGCACATTTTGCATTTACCGACTTGGGTCATGTGTGGCGCAGACTGGTAAGATATACGACTATTTATCAAAACATGAGTATACCACATTTCAGTCGGTTCTGCTTAAATGTACGTCTGTGAGATACGGTCGTTAAGACACGAAGCGACTATTGAATTTTCATCACAGATGTGTTCGTAGTATTGCTCGCGCTTGATGGTATCACTGTGAGCAATAATGAAGTCAGACGAAGCATACTAGGGAAGGTAGGCTTGGAAATGTACTGCGCTTGCTGAGTCATCGCCTACGTTGAAGTATCATGTTAAATGAGGTTGGACTAGGTTGGAAGAGAGTTAAGGGTAACCTCCATGTGGGTAACCCAGAAGAAGTTGGGTATAGAGTTTTAGGGAGAAGAGGTGAATCAGTTGTCGAGGTTGTGAGCCTTCATCGACTGAGATGGTTGGGGCACGTGTTACGTTTGTCTAAATGCCGGTTGCCTCATCACAAAATGTTGTCCGAAGTAGGTTCAGAGTGGAAAAATGGCCCGAGGTGTCCATACTAAAACATGGCACCAATGTATGAAGTCTGTGAGTGTTAGTTTGAGCGATGTAGGTCGATGCAGACTGAGTGGTTAATGTCAACGGGACAAGAGAAACCACCAGTGGTTGAAGACTCTAGGTGATGATCGATGTCAGTGGTGTAGAAGTATCCCCACACATATTATTCTCATCTTACCGATACTCTACCGAATCTCACCATTTTCTCATTCTTCCTTTCTTTCTTCCCATACTTCATATTTCTTTTGACTGAATTTTCTTTTCTTCATCTTCCACTTCACTACCTTTTTACTTGATGTAGTGATATGATGAGGTGTGGCAACTCTGACTGTTATGCAGTAGTGCCTTATGTTGAGGGGTAAAATGAACATAAATTTATCAATGTACAACGTGATATTTTTTATTAGAATTATTTAACTATTGGTGTTCAATTTTGACGGTCTTTCGTAACTGAACTGTGCAAATTATTTACAAGTTGGCATTCATCATAAACTGTGATATCAGTTGAAGAAACAGTAGTAACCGTGGGAGGATTGGAAAGCAGCCGTCTTATTCTAGTAACGGACTCCTCATCAGTCTATGTCACTCATCATCCCAGTCTTCAACAAAGGCGAGAAGTCCTCTTGTGATAACCACAGAGGAATCAGCCTGACGAACATAGTGTCTTAGATCCTAGGTTCTATAATTCTCCGACGCCTGAGTGGAGTTTCGGAACACCAAGCCCGAGAAAACCAAGTAGGCTTTAGACCTGGCCGTGGATGTATCGACCAAACATTCACACTGCGCCAGGTCCTGGAACATAGGCATGCTTACAGACGCCCGACAATAGCTGTATTTCTCGACCTGAAGGTGGCATTTGACTCCGCTGATCGAGAAGTCTTATGGCAATGTCTGTCACTGAAAGGCGTACCTAGTAAGTACATCACGTTATTGAAAGCTCTCTACTCGAACACTTGTGGGCATGTTAGAACCTATGGTGAGTTGTCCAGGGAGCTATGCTCATTGATTGGTGTCCGTCAAGGATGTCCACTCTCTTCATTCTTATTCAATTTCATCATAGATATTCTCATGGAGACTTCCCTTTCGTCACCAGGCTACACAGACGTTGACCTAAGTGGTGGAGAATTTTCGTCTGACCTAGAATATTCAGACGACATAGTCAGTCCTGTTAGGTGAAGACGCTGACTGATGAGATGCTGAGTCTTCTGAACACTTTGAGTGGGAATTTGAGAATGTTTGGGATGCCATTTTCACCACCCAAATGCAAATTTTGCTCCAGGACTGGTCTTCAGCGGTTCCGTGGCTAACAGTAGAGAGTGAAGTGGTTGAGTGTGTTGACCACTTCGCTTACCTAGGAAGTAGGATCAGCCCTAGTGGCTAGCTCAGTGGCCGATGAGATTTCGGCACGGATACAAAAGGCTCGATTGGCTTTTGCCTATTTACGCCACCTATGGCGCCGCCGTGATATTCGTTTGTCTATTAAGAGTCGCGTGTACTGCACAGCAGTCCGCTCTGTTCTACTATATGACTGTGAAACATGGCCACTGAAGGTGGAGGATACAAAAAGGCTTCAAGTGTTTGACCACCGTTGCCTGCGTAGTATATGCCGTATTTCGTGATGTCACCATGTGAGTAATGCAGAATTGAGGTATAGAGTTTTAGGGAGAAGAGGTGAGTCAGTTGACGAGGTTGTGAACCTTCATCGACTGAGATGCTTGGGACACGTGTTACGTATGCCTAGTCACCGATTGCGTCGTCACACAATGTTGGCTGAGGTGGGTCCAGGCTGGAAAAAGGCCCGAGGTGGCCAGACTAAAACATGGCACCAATGTATGAAGTCTGTGAGTGTTGGTTTGAGCGATGTGGGGTGATGCAGACTAGGTGGTTGGAGTCCACGGGCAAGAGTAACCAGTGGTTGTAGACCCTAGGTGATATTGCTGAGAACCGAAGTCAGTGGCGCAGATGTATACACACATTATCCTCATCTTGATGACGCTATACCGAATCTCACCATTTTGTCACTCCTCTTTCCTTTCTTCTCGTACTTTATATTTCTTCTGACTGTATTCTCTTATCTTCATCCTTCACCTCACTACCTTTTTCCTTGATGAACTGACGTGAGGTGTGGCAAGTTGGAGCGTTACGCAGTAATGCCTGGTCCTATGTTGATAATGATGATGATGACTCCTCATCAGTACGCACATTTGATCCGGCCCATCGGTAGTGCAACCCAGGACTTTAAGGTTTCATGGTCAACACGTTGCCATTTAACAATTATACTCGCAGTCAGATGGTTACATCACGTCTGGAAACCACAATAGTAGAGAGATTTAGACTACCAATGAGTCGCATACTGCTAACAGTCCATTTTCTGTAGATATCACCAGATATATCATCATTCTAGTTCTACAATCAATAGGAAGTTATCTTTTAATCGAGGTACTCTTTGTTTGTTCGCCGTCGATCGACAGAAAAATTCTGTGTCTTTCGATGATCTCATTTTCGAAAGCTGTAGACTGTCGTGGTTATATATATATC